AATCTTTAAAATATATGCATTCATTTTGTATCGAAAACTTTGTCTTCGTCTTCATCGAAAATAAATTTCTAATTACCTCCCTTTATCAACATGAAATGTAAATTTGGTAATATCTTTACAAATAATGCTTTTTGGAATATACAATATTGATAAATCTTCATTTGAGCGTTATATTTAATGATATAAAACCATAAAAAAATGAGTTAAACAAATAATGATTCGTTCCAGGCTTACCGACTATGGACTATGTTTCCTCGCATGGCACCAGTAAACATACTAATGTAACTCTCCAGGAAGAGTACCAGGAAGTTTTCACAGCAATTAAAGCTGAAGACGAGATAGAAATTTATATAAATGAACTTTCAACCGTGTTTGTGTTTAAAATTAGCTCGCTATTTTATGAAATATGAATTGTAATAAGACGGAAAAGAAATTTATAAAAATAAACTTTCAACCGTGTTTGCTTTTAAAACTAGATCGCTATTTTATAAAATATGAATTGACATTTTAAATTGATATTAAATGAGACCCAACTTGGATCGTACAATGGTGTAATATGAGAAACTTTACACTCTTGTATTCTTACAGGGGTTTGTTTGATTTACAAGTTTATTTTAAGGTCAGGTAAGCAATGTTAAGCAAGTTGATGAAGTATGACAGAAACTTAATTCCGTGTTCACGGATTTTAGTTCTCCTGAAGAAGGTTCACTTCCGGAAAAACGATGTAGTTAAATTACATTGGAATTATAATGATGATAATTAATAATGAATGATGATGATAATTGGTGATGATGATAGTGATGTAGATGATAATGATGTGATGATGACGATGATGATGATTATCATTACAGAAGTACTTGTCAATGACTTTGAGATAAAAACAAATCATGATTTTTTTTGTTCATAATAATATTCATTCCTAACAATAAACTATGGTATTATCATGTTCTCGTAAAATTCTGTTGTTTGTTTCTTTTTCATGGCCATACTTCTGGTAAAAAGCGGGACCGCATACGTCAACTCATATATTACCAATAATCCGAAGTTTGGCGGAAAAGTACGGAAAGATGTGATTGATTGACAGAATGTGTTAACGTTTACACGTTGCTTAAAATGTAATTAGTCATTGTAGCATTCTTCACATCATGGCTGGCAATATTAATTTTTCAGTTGTCAGAGTTATAATATAATTTTTGTCAGTTGTCATGATTAACATAGTGCATGCATGCGGCGGAGTGATATTAACACGTGGTTAATGTGTGAAACATTTTTGTTTAATGTTTATATCTGGCTAAACATGAACATGAAGTATAGTCACAAGTTACTAACCCGCATGAATCAAAACAAAGTTATTTAACGATCTCAGAATTCTAATTGTAAGAAATTCAACAAAAATTAAAAGCACTAGTCTTTTAACTTGCAATAATTAAAACAACGACTTTTAACAATGAACATGTTTTGGTTGGGAAAGCAATATATTATAACATTTTGATTTTTTTAAAAAGAAAGCAGAAAATAACACGTGGTTTTTTTTTTTTTTAGATATTTTCATTTTAAATTATTTTTTATAATGTAAAGTCTGAAATTTCCGCATGGGATAAACTTGATGTTTGATAAGTATATCCATTCTAATACTTAATTCATAAATCTGCGACATTGATTTTTCAAAAAATTGACCTTGCAAACATAAATGCCTTTACAGTAATCGACAGAAAGATATTACGTAAAACACCACATTTTTAAGATGTTTTGCGATCCAGCCAATATAATTGGTTACCTCATAATGTGTAACCAATGAAAGTCTCAAGTTTGCATCATGTGATCTCCCAATGTTAATGCCAATTAGGTCCAATACTATCAAATCTTAAGCATGTTAAATAATTTAAAGCAGCATACCTCCAGATTCATGCTCAATTTCATGATTTTGTGAAATGTACCAAAATGTAAAATATTGTCAAAAAACAGTAACTTTACAAATTGTAAACGCCACTTAAATATAAGAACATTATCAAAAATAGGTCAGAATATACCAAAGTTGCCTTCACTGCGTTAGTCACGCAGTAGAAATACGGTGATTTAAAAACTGTAAAATCAGTCATTAATTGTTAAATTAAAGCATGTAAATTATTTTTTGAATAGTGGATATTCTACTTTCTTAAAATCTTCGTACATTTTTCTCAGGGATGTTTTTTATGAACTATTTTGGGGGCCCTTAACTTGTAAGACCAATTGTATGGTTCAGGCTTAAAGGAACCCCACTGCGGTCCAAAAGCCCAAAACATACTTTGAGAAATAACTTCTCAACTAAATTGAAATTCGTAAGTTTGTGCTTTTCTTAGCCCGATTAGAGTGAATAGCGTTACAATGCTTTTCAATGCTGGATCGTTTTTTTTTTCACGATTAAAATAACAATTTTTTTAAAACGTAATCGAAAACCAATGATCTGAAATTGTGTGCATAGTTTATTTGACTAACCCTTCATTAAACGGAAAACTTAACTCTAAATAAAAAATATATCCAATCTCGTCAGGTCAAAAACTTCAGTGCAGTCCCTTTAATGCTTGGGAGTTTGCTTTTTACAGTACACACACACGCGCGCGCGCGCGCGCGAGCGCGAGCGAAATCACATGCTTTGAAATAATAAAATATTAGCTTTTTTGATGCTTAAAATGCCTTTAAAATCCAAATCAAGTTGTGTATCAGTATATTAACAACATTCAGTAAATTAGTTATATTTTTAGGTGTAAATGGTAGAGAATAACAAGTTTAAATATATAAAAGTTAACGTTTCGTGAAATAGGTATGGCGGATAATTACATCTTACCATCTTAATTTTCTTTTATGTGTCAGGGTTATCTTTTAAGGAAGCCTATAAAAACACATTAATACTGTACTTAGTATATGAAATAAAATCAGATAAAACACACAATTTCAATAACTAGTATTGCGCGTCTGCAAGGTGGTTGAACAACACTAAATATTTCAACGTATATGTCACGTCTGCAAGGTGGTTGAACAACACTTAATATTTTAACGTATATTTCACGTCTGCAAGGTGGTTGAACAACACTAAATATTTTAACGTATATGTCACGTCTGCAAGGTGGTTGAACAACACTAAATATTTTAACGTATATTTCACGTCTGCAAGGTGGTTGAACAACCCTAAATATTTTAACGTATATTTCACGTCTGCAAGGTGGTTGAACAACCCTTAATATTTTAACGTATATTTCACGTCTGCAAGGTGGTTAAACACCAAATATTTTAACGTATATTTCACGTATGCAAGGTGGTTTAACAACACTAAATATGTTAACGTATATTTTAACGTATGCAAGGTGGTTTAACAACACTAAATATTTTAACGTCTATGTCACGTCTGCAAGGTGGTTGAACAACACTAAATATTTTAACGTATTTTTCACGTCTGCAAGGTGGTTGAACAACCCTAAATATTTTAACGTATATTTCACGTCTGCAAGGTGGTTGAACAGCACTAAATATTTTAACGTATATTTCACGTCTGCAAGGTGGTTGAACAACACTAAATATTTTAACGTATATTTCACGTCTGCAATGTGGTTGAACAACACTAAATAGTTTAACGTATATGTCAGGTCTGCAAGGTGGTTGAACAACACTAAACAGTTTAACGTATAAGATATTGTTTGTTAGTATCCGATCATTCAATCGGATTACCTCGACGATTATCAAAGTTTGACGGAAAGGACCGAGAAGATGCGATTGTTACGTATTACAAAGATGCGGTTGTTACGTATTAAAGAAATTATGTACTATATATGTCGGCGCAGACTTAATTCATTTAAAAGTACTCGAGTCAGGTATTTGCATCCCGCAGTATAACACTTTTTACATTTTTTACATTTGTGAGAGACCATCTTTATAGTGAACAACAAAAAAGAAGTACTTTTTGTATAGCATCCCACAATATACGAACTTATATTTAGGTTGAACATCACTAGTACTATAAGAAAATAAAGATACTTTAATTTTCAAAAGAACAATTTCGATTCTAATTTTGTCAGTTTGTTATTTTCAAACTAGTAAGTTGTAAAAATAATCCATTTTCTTCAATTTAGTTTCAATATGCATATTGATGAGGTGTCTGATCATTCGGAACTGCCTCGGCTATTATCTATAATAACCTTATCCGAAGACTGACGGAAAGGGTCGAGTAGTTACGATTGGTGTCTGATCAAGCTAAGGGTGACTGATCAAGCTAAATTTATCAGGCATGCACTTTATCAACAGAAATCGATGCAATGACACGATAAAATAGAATATGTGATACATAGACTTGTTTTAAAGGGACTCCACCGAGGTTTAAAAGCCTAATACATAACATTAGAATTTCTTACATAAATGAGCTAGGACATTTTTAACAGAAATATATGCTTTAATGCTTTTTTTGAGTGAAAAGCGTTTAAACGCTTTTCATTTTGGGTCTTTTTTGCAATTTGAATAGTTATTATGGAAAAACGAAGTGCGCGAATGATCTAAAATGTTGCACAAAGGTAAGTGGTCTAAATCTACATCAAATAGTACATTTATCTGAAAAAAATATTTTCAGTCCCATCATGTCAAAAAACCTCAGTGGAGTCCCTTTAATATACAACCAGGACCTACAGAAGCACACGATGTGTGAATGTAACTGTACGTTTTTCGGTGACAAACTTATTAAAAGCGAAATCCCCAGTGTACAAATGACAATTTGCATTAATATTCATAAGATTGTGAAGTTAAGTGGTTTACATCGTTTATCTTCTCAGGTTAGTAGATTTTAATTTGTAAGTTTTTATGTTTATTTCAAGATGTACTTTTACTTAAAAAAAAAAGATATTTGTTGATGTGTGTATTTTTTTTATTTTTTTTTTTACTTATTTTATCATCTTTTTTTATGTGCCAATTAAAGCTGCAAATTAACATATTATGATAACTTTGGTGATGTTGTGTTCATATACTTAAAGATAAGCAACCATTGCATAACTATAATTACCTACTAATAATGTGAAAATTAATTAAGTTAATTGTGTGAATTCATGCACAGTGTTGTATTCAGTTGTTGTTTATTTTTTGTTGTTTGTCAAACCTTTTAAATGCATGTAATAAATGCATGACTTAAATTGTAATGGATTTAAGACAAAGGGGAAAAATAAATAACGTAAAGAAAGAAAGAAAGACAGAAAGAAAATAGAAAGAAAGAAAGAAAGAAGAAAGAAATAGAAAGAAAGATTAAAAGGAATAAGAAAAAAGAAAGGAGGGAAGGTTGAAAGGAAGGAAGGAAGGAAGGAAGGAAGGAAGGAAGGAAGGAAGCAAGGATAGATAGAAGGAAGGAAGGAAGGATAGATAGAAGGAAGGAAGGAGGAAGGAAGGAAGGAAGGATAGAAGGATAGATAGAAGGAATGAATGAAGGAAGGAAGGATAGATAGAAGGATAGATAGAAGGAAGGAAGGAAGGATATAATTAATATCTAATACAAGAATGGGACAATTAATATACGTATATATTGTGTGTTAACACACTGAACATTGCCTTTATTTATCACAAAAAAATTAGCAGATTTTAATCTGATAGGCACCTTTCGATTGTATATTTATGCAAAGTGAATATATGCAAAATAAAAGAAAGGAGGGAAGGAAGGAAGGAAGGAAGGAAGGAAGGAAGGAAGGAAGGATAGATAGAAGGATAGATAGAAGGAAGGAAGGAAGGAAGGAAGGATAGATAGAAGGATAGATAGAAGGAAGGAAGGAAGGAAGGAAGGAAGGAAGGAAAGAAAGAAAGAAGGAATGAAAGAAGGAAGAAAAGAAGGAAGAAAAGAAGGAAGGAAGGAAGGAAGGAAAGAAGAAAGGAAGGAAGAAGGAAGGAAGGATATAATTAATATCTAGTACAAGAATGGGACAATTAATATACGTATATATTGTGTGTTAACACACTGAACATTGCCTTTATTTATCACAAAAAAAATAGCAGATTTTAATCTGATAGGCACCTTTCGATTGTATATTTATGCAAAGTGAATATATGCAAAATAAAAAAATGTTCGCTTTTAAGATCATTTCATTAATGCTGTAACCCTGGTTTATGGAACGCCATGGCTGCTATCTATACCCATTCTAAAGTGGTGTTCACCAAAAGTGAACCAAAACTTATAAGTAAATTTGATTCGGGCTACTGCATTTCAAATGTCCAGTCCGGAGTTGTAACCTTTCAGTGTCTCTGTATATAAAGTTGCTAACTTTAAACATGCTTGTTTTATTTTGAAACCGTCCAATAGGTAGAGCGTTTGACTGTGAATCAGGCGATTCGGGTTCGATTCCCGGACGGTGCAAGTCTTTTTTGTTGTGATTGATCATACGATTCTTTCCTCGGTCATTTGCACAGTTTCTCTGTTCTGGCATGAACAGAAGTTATCAAGTCCTTGCGAAAGTGAAGGCAACTAGTACTGGTAAACGGCTTGACAGATTGCCGGTGGCTTAATTTTGTGCTCTGGTAAATTCTATGTGGCTTACTGCCGTGATCAGGAGTGAAAACTACCAACACCACCTCCACATGCTAGTTTTATAGATGCTAAATTTGAATCGACTCATACATTTGACAATTAAACAATGTGGGGGTGGGGAGTGGGGCAATTCCCCAATGTAAAACAATAAGCTCAATTAGCTCTATGGTCCCTATGACCGACTAGTTCAGATCGCTATCTTTCAAATGTTTGCCAATCACGGCTCCTTTTTGGGACTTTATATATTTGTTAGGAAGTTATTGGGCAAGGTCAAGGAAGTTCGATGGTTTATAAATACGGTATATTATATTATAACCTTACTTCTATCATGAATTAATATTTATTCAGAAGATTGGTATGTTTTCATCGTGTTTATTAAACTGGTATAATTGAGAATATGTCAATATTTGAAAAGGAATAATTAGACGTGCGTGCAAATCTAACTTTAGTTATTAGTATGGTGGCCTGCTAGCACCATATTTCAGATTTTAGTAAGGTACCATAGCAAGTTTCTCGTGCGGCTTGTCGAGACGGCGAATGCACGAAAACACGAATTCGCGACAAATTCATAGCTTTTTTGTTGGTCTTATTTTTGTTTTTCTTTTCTTTTCCCGGTTATTCCGGCTTATCGTCAAGGCACGAGCAAAACTACACATGGTACAAATGCGCCGTCATACTTTTAGTGTAAGTGATCACTCATGCGAGATATGCTGATATTTATTGCATTTGAGCCGTGTCACGACAAAACCAACATAGTGCGTTTGCGACCTACATGGATCAAGACAAGCCTGCGCATCCGCGCAGTCTGATCAGGGTCCATGCTGTTCGCTATTAGTTTCTCTACTTGTTTTAGGGTTTGTAAGCGAACACCATGGATCCTGATCAGACTGCGCGGATGCGCAGGCTTGTCTGGATCCATGTAGGTCGCAAACGCACTATGTTGGTTTTGTCGTGACACGGCTCATTTATTTATAATAATAAATGTTTTGAATGAATACGCACTTAAATTCACTTGGGAAGAAATGAGATCTTAACATTTTACAAAGAAAACCTTAATAAGCTGTTTATGTACCATCTTAACGTATTTCAATAATAACCATAACTCGAATAAGCTTATATCATGCCACTATTAAATGTAAATAAAAAGTTATTTTCAAATAGTCAGTATATCGTAATAAAAGTTAGGTTTAAGAGACCTAAAACGCCTTTGATAACTATGAAAAATAATGAATTCGCTTTTATGTCAATGCGACAAAACACCCAAAATGGACAGTTAAAAGAAAGCGAGATCATATCATGAAAGTCACTCTTTGATTTTGGTCGTTTATCTAATTATGGCCCAGCTAACATCAAATAAATTAGCTCTTATAAAGTACACATTTCAAAAGGTTTCGCTCGGACACCTCCAATATTAATGAATCACCGTTTTATTAAGCTTGTTTCATCTTCTTTTTTTTCTCTTCCTGATTACTTATTTGTCTCGAGGTTCATTTAATTCCTTAATTGATGATAACTACATGATTACCTAATTAACGATAAAACGACAATATTTTATCAATTGTTTACGTCACAGAACGGATATTATTTACGTGTAAAACATGACCAACATTTGACTTTTGTATTAATTAATGTTGTATTTTTAGAAGTATACGACGTTTCGCCTTGTAAAGAACATAACAGATTCATGTTCATGTATATACCGTGGTACAATGTTAAACATATTTGCAATAAATCAATTGCTTATAAATAATATTTATCCATGTCCTTTTTAAAACCAGAATTGAATGGGGGGAGGGGGTAATGCCGTACCCTCAATCATGTCAATGGCAGGATGTTACGTCATCGCGCAGCTGCTGAATGCTCCCGCTGTAGAAAATCCGTCAACTCGAAAATAATGGTCCGGGTGGGAGCATTCAGCAGGTGCGCGATGACGTATTATCTTATCATTGCCGAAAGTGAAACACCTTTGCAACCCGTTTAGATCTTTAATTTTTTATCGTGATATATCAAAAGTTAATAGTTTCAAAAATGGAAGCTATCCTGATATATCTAAGCTAGACAAGTCCAATTTCAAAGACTTAAGAAGGTTAAGAGTTATCGTGTATTTGTTGTGATATAGATCTATGGAAGGAATAAGATTATGTATCTTTGATATATATGAAAAATTTTTAAAGATACATTACTCTTGTCAGATTTCAGCATATCAATAAATCTAAACGCTCTACAGGTTTCGTAAAGGTTATCTCGTAATCTGTTTTATTATATCAATTTTGTCTGTTCTGTTTAGTTTTAAAGCCACATTTAACACAATTTTGGTCATATTTTAACCTGACCTAACCGGCTGTCATTGGTCATTAACCAAAATTATCAATTTCTCCAAAAATGACCGACTAGCTATCCCGCAATGTGTGTCTGGATCTGGAGTGAGACACTAAATGTTTGTGATCAATTGTTACGTGAAAAAAAAACCCGCCCGTGGATCAAGCCAGCTGCATATAAATAACTAATCCTATGATCTTCCTATTGATAATCAAAGGGCTGCAAGCTCTGTGGTATTTTCTGTTGTTTGCATTCTAAATCGTACTCTTTATATGTATGTATTTTACTTTATAAGTTTATTTTTATATACTATAATTCATCTTACAGGGTACCGAGATGCAGCAACTGCGTTTAGATTTTTTTACTATAACAGTTTGAGTTTTATACATACGGAATTTTGCATGACTTTTTAAGAGTTGCATTAAAAAATAATTAATGTTCATTTTTTTTAAGACAGCCACACTTTATCCTTGCATATATTGGCTACTTCCATAAAAAGACACTTAAAAAGAAATAGTTGCCTCGACTGGGATTTGAACCCCAGACCACTCACACCCTAAACGAGCGCGTTACACCAGGGGGAAGTTATTCGAAGAACGCCTGAATAAAATTAAATAATTCTAAATTTGGAATTTCCATTTCGGGGTTTGTAATCTTTATTAATTTCGAGGTATTTTGTTCACGATAAACCTGTTGTTTAACACTGATGTAAATAATTTAGCGAAAATCTTCTCGCCAAAACAGACGGACACTGCTCGACAGTCAGATTTATTTGTGTAATTCGGTAATCGACATCGCTAAAAATAGCATTTTCATTGATTAAAATGATATTCATCCGCATAGTTTGTGATTGTGCATTTATTGACAATTCTATAAGGCAACGCTACTTATAAACTTTGATTGCGTCGTAATTTGTTGGATACTTGTAACAAAATAACAATATTTTTTTTC